TCTTTGAAAAAAATTAAGACATAAAAGCCACCATACATTCATATTGATGCTTCTGACTCAGACTTTGGGCTTAAGAATGTTAGGGCTTAGCCGGGCAGTGGTGGCATACACCTTTAATACCAGCACTCAGAGGCAGAGGGAGTTCCAGGACAGCCAGGGCTACACAGAGAAACTCTGTCTTGAAAATAAAATACAAAAAAAAAGAATGTTAGCGCTCATCAAAGCAGATACTTGTTTTTTCCTTATTGAAAATTCCAGTGCCCAGGCAGTGCAACAGCTGCCCGCTTGCTTTGTCCCCGGTACACGCGTATTAGCGTGAGAATGAGTGTGTCCACGAAGATGACCCAGACCAGCCTTTAACAGTTTTGTTGTGTGCTTTTGTCATGTTTGAAACTTTTGACTGTGTGTTTACTGTGGTGTGTGTGTGTGTGTGTGTGTGTGTGTGTGTGTGTGTGTTTACTGTGGTGTGCGTGTGCATGTGCGTGTGCGTGTGTGTGTGTGTGTGTGTGTATTTATTGTGGTATGTGCGTGTGTGTGTGTGTGTGTGGGTGTGTATTTACTGTGGGGTGTGTGCGTGTGTGTCTGTCTGTGTCTGTCTGTCTGTGTCTGTCTGTGTGTCTGTGTGGCTCAGACGACAACCTCAGGGGTCAGTCCTTGCCTTCCACTCTGCACGTTGTGCTTTAAAGTAATTTGAGCTGGCTACTTTATGTTTTTGTCACCAACTGAATATTGTTTACCTCATTTGTTTAATTTATCCTGATGTATAGGACTTTCTTTAAAAAAAAATTAATTCCCCCCAAGTCATCGTTTCCGAAGTCAAGTCTGTAAACAGTTAGGTACAATAGAGGTTGGCGTCCACTACTGACCTGAATTCTCCTTTTCCCTTTCCTAGTAGCTATTTTTCAGTAAGAAAACCACCAGCACATGTTGCTTTTAAATTTTAAATTCATTAGAACTAAATCAGCATTTGCTCTTCAGTCACATGAGTGACATTTTAAGTTCTACTACCGAAATAGTCGTTGACCTCATAGAATAGACTGTAGAACTTTGCTGGCGTGGTTGAGAGTTCTATTGCACAGCCCTACCCTCAGAGAACGCATTCCTTTAAACGTTTTATTTATCCCTGTAATTTTTTTTTAAGGTAAAAGGTTATATATTTTTCCTGTCATGTCACAAAATAACTGAAGCTGAGTACTTACAAAGAAGAAAGGTTTATTTAGCTCATAGTATAGAGATTGGAAGCCCAAGATTGGGCAGCTGCAGTTCTTTGGTCTGCTGTGATGTGTGTTCTTTGGGCAGCTGCAGTTCTTTGGTCTGCTGTGAGGACCTCTTACAGATGATGGAAGCCATCCGTGATGGTGATCATGGTGAGACAAGAAGTCATAGGGGTTCAGGGGTCAGACCTGATCCATGGGCACCCCCTGAATATAAGGTCTGTTTTCTTTGTTACAGAAGTTCTTGACAACTGAGCTGTATCCCACCCCTTTATTTTGCTTTGAGAAGGAGCCTTGCCCAGTTGCCCAGGCTGCTCTGGAACTCATGATCTTCCTGCCTCATTCTTTCTTGTAGCTGGGATCACAGGTGTGTGGAATCATGCTTGGTCTAGGCCTGGTTTTGTAGAAACAACACAGCATCTCAAGAATTCTCTGTAGGAGACCAGGGTTAATTCCTTCCAAGGGTAATACTCTCATGACCTAATTACTTTGTATAAATCTGGTCTCTTAAAGATACCATCCACCTGAGCATAGCCCTTCCGGGGACAAAGCTTCCACACTGTATCTGCCCCTCACTGCACATTTGCTGTGCTTTGGGTGCTATTGTCTCCTGGTGCTCTCCTCCTCACCCCACAGATTACACATGCTGCTCTCGCTAGGCCAGTGGTATGCTTCTGAGCGATGCCCCCAGTTCTGTCCTTTTCTTAGCCTATCCTGGAGATTTTCCCAGACTATAGAGCAAATAAAGATCATTTTCATAACTTCAATAGCTTACAGTCTGTTAAAAAACCAGCTCCTTCCTGATGACATTCTGGTCATTGTAGTTTATCATAGCATGGTGAATAGTAGTACTGCATTGTCCATACATCTTTCCATGTATTAAGAAGCACCCTACTATTAATAGCAACTATCAATAAGGCCCTGTCTCTCAAATATGAAGAGAGGAATTGTTCTCATTATAAAAGTAGTCCTTTTCCATTGCATTAGCAACACAAATATATTGGGGAGAGGAGAGAATATGAGTCATCTGCAATGCGTTTGCTCCAACAGGCTCTGTGTGCTGATTCATCCCTTGCTTTTCAGATCGTTTCCAGTTCTTGAGTTTGAATGGGAAGAATCCTCACTATTTCCACATCGTTTCAGTATATATGCGAATTTTAGATATGTGGTATGCACTAGTTAGAGGTTTCTTTACCATAATAAGTGTAAACATTTCTTTGAACACAAAATTTTTGTATGTTCCCAAGGATGTGTATGGTATTGATTTTCCAGGCCTTTTCTTAATCTGTGATAAATTAAGCATTTGTTTATTTAGGTTGTTTCCAGTTTTAAAAGTTGCATTATAAACTGGGCATTGTGGCACACACCTTTAATCCAGCACTTGGGGAGCACTGGAAGGCAGAGGCAGAGACCTGTGGGTCTCTTAGTTTGAGAACATCCTGGCTAGCCAAGGTTACAGTGAGATGGGGCCCACCACTGGCTCTCAAATAAATCACACATGGAGGTTTATACTTAATTATAAATGCCCGGCCTTATCTTGACTTATTTCTAGCCGGCTTTCCTTAACTTAAATCAGCCTGTCTACCTTTGGCCTCTGGGCTTTATCTTTCTCTCTTTCTGTGTACATTTCATTATTTCTTACTCCGTGGCTTGCTGTGTAGCTGGGTGGCTGGGTGGCTGGCCCCGATGTCCTCCTCTTCTCTGGCTACTTCCTTCTACATTTTTCTCCAGAATTTCTCCTTCTATTTATTCTCTCTGCCTGCCAGCCCTGCCTATCCTTTCTCCTGCCTTGCTATTGGCCGTTCAGTTCTTTATTAGACCATCAGGTGTTTTAGACAGATAAAGTAACACAATACAGCTGCACAGAGTTAAACAAATGCAACATAGACAAAAGTAACACCCCTTAAAATAATATTCCCCAACATTTCCTCCCCTTTTTTTCTAAACAAAAATGAAAGGCTTTAACTTTAACATAGTAATATTGTATACAGTAAGAACAATTATCAAGTAACGATTACATTCACAATGTACTGAATTCCAATTAGTTTATGTCTGGTACATTTAAAGAAAGCACTCCATAATCTATCCTTAGTAAATCCTAAATTTTATACCTGACTTACTTTTTATCATATCTAAGGAAAGCTGCAACTATAACTATCTAGTCTTCAACTCCATCAAAGGCCCCAGAAGGATATAATATTATTTAAGTAAACAAAAAGTGCATTGCATATATCTTCCAAAAATTCTAGCAATGACAGAGACATCTGACTGCCTGGACAGTCACCCAAAGTTCTTCTGCAGTATTAGGGCATCCATCTTCAGCCTACAGGCCCATAGTATCTGGCAGACTTTTCAATGAAGCAAGAAATTTGAGAAACTGTCCTACCTATATTGGCAAAGTTTATTAGTCACTTTCCTCTGTGTCCTGCAGAATGTCTGGCAGTTTCTTCTGTGAAGCAGGAATCCTAAAGGGCAACACCAACCTTGTTTTGGCAAAGTTCACTGGTCACTTTCCCGTGGGTCCTGCATGTTCAGTATACCACATACTGTCAGTCAGGCCAGGCAAGAGCAGCTTCTTGCCCAAATGGTTAACCTTGCCACACTGAAAGCAAACTCCATAAGGAGTTTCTTCAATGCCCATCATCTCTGAAGTAAATTGGTGCTTCCAGGAGCAGATGTGTCTCATTGTCATGAAATGCCCTAAGTTAACAAAACATTTTAAATGCCATATTCTGTTGGTCTTTGAAAGATTTGAAGACCATCATATAATATTACATGAAGCATTTTTACTTTTCCTTATATTTAGATTGGGGGGGACCAGAAATGGAATTATTGAATTAAATGTCAAAAGCATAGATAAGATGGGCATGGTGTCTTTTGCCTGTAATCTCAGCAGTTAAGAGGTGGAGGCAGGAGGCTTGCTATGAGTTCAAGGCCATCCTTGGTTACAAACATTTCTCAAAAATCCAAAGTCAATTAATTTTTAGAAACCATAAATAAAATAAATATATCTTGCCAAATTTCTTCCCTCAGAATCTCCTGATGGTAGCTCTGGCCACATTGTTACTATTTTGAAGCATTTTGGAAATAGAATAGCATAAAAATGTATATAGCCTTTTTGGGAGTATTATCATCTATTTTTCTCACTTCATTTTTTTACCTTATTTTGTATGGGATGCTATCCTTATGTGCTAAGGATGATTTTTTCTTCACCAAATATGTTTTAAACTTTAAAAACATACTTTTGTTTTACATTTTTATAGTCAATCTTAGATATATTTTTCTTTTCTTTTTTTGTTTTTGTTTTTTGAGATAGAGTTTCTCTGTGTAGCCCTGGCTGTCCTGGAACTCACTCTATAGACCAGGCTGGCCTCAAACTCAGAGATCCACCTGCTTCTGCCTCTCAAGTGCTGGGATTAAAGGAATGCACCACCACTGCCTGGCTAGGCAATTTTCTTCCTAGGTCTTTTTTATTTTTTTATTACCACACCCCAACATCGGAAAATACTGGCAATTTGATCATTATTGTGTTGTAAATTTTCAGGATTGTATTTATAATTCTCAGGATTAAAGTAAAATCAAAATTAGTTGACATTATTCAGAAGGAATATTATTTCTAGGCCCTGACAGAATGTGTCTTATTTCAATATGTAAGTTAATGTATAAAAACACAATGATACCCTCTTCTTTAACCTGGGATGCTGTAAATTATCTTTAGTCACTCTCATTTTGATTAGAGAAATTATTTCACAGCCCTTCGATGACTGCCTTTTCTTTCCTCTGTAGAGAAGAAAGCGTATCTTGTGCTGACTGATGTGGACTACAGACACATTGTGAAGAAAACAAACTGCACATAAATAAATATTACCACGATACCAAGACTACAGAAATAATCCTCAGTGTTTTCATGAGTCTGTAAACTATGTGACTAGAGGCCCCTTTTCCAAAGGATGGGGGAAAGAGCCGGAAGTCCAGACCCCGATCAGGAGAGAAAGGCAGGCAAGCACCACTTCTCTCACTACTCGTCTGACTTTGGGTCCTCACCACAGTCTTCTGACCATTCGTCACCCATCCACTTGCTTTCGTGTCCAACTACGAAGGAGAAGAATCCCAGAAGACAGTTGTCAGAGAACCAGGTACATCACCAAGGTGGGTGTCTACTGTAAAAGATGCCAGGCACCCGGACCCTCCGGGGCAGCGCGGCAAAAACCCATGTGAATGAAGTCTCTCCCCTAGTGTGTATGTTGCTGCGTACCCGGAGTGGGCTGATTTTCATTTCAGATGGCTTTATCTTCTTAAATGATGTGTTGCTTATATGTATATATGTTACTTTTTTTATAATCAGAGTCATACCGAAGAGAGCACCAGAAGACTGCTCATATTCTTGCTTCCTAAGGAAATGTCTTTCTTGTGATTGAAGAGGCCCTTAACTGTAAGGGCAAAACCTACAGGGCAATTGTACTTTATTGTTGTTTTTTAAAGTAACTAAAAGCAGTAATATAAACTAGTTATGAAGCATTTTCATTGACAGAGCTGATGCTCTCTGAAAACATGCAACTTAACCTAGGGATGGGTTTAGGACTCTGGATTATCCAATTTGTTTACCATTCACTGACTTAAAAGAGATCAGATTGTTATTAATTGTAATTTTTGTTATGAGAATATTACTATTCTGGAGCATGCATAACTATGTACTATTAAATAAATCTCATCATTTAATAAATCTCTGGGTTGAAAAGCCAGTTTCATGGAGCAACAGAATGCACCAAGTCTGTAGTCTGTAAGAATGGCGTAGAACAATAAGTTATGGCATGTGAGGTAATTATGATTCATTGATGCATGGCACACAGTTACGACAACTGTGCAGAGTGTTGAGACTTCCTGATGCCAGCTAGGGAGCAGGAAGTTGGGGGCTTGAGAAGAAAACAGAAGCCACATAATGAAATACCCACATCCGATGGTAACAGACTATATTCATTATTTTTGTGGGTGACAGCTGCTGGACTGATTTAAGAAAGGGTGTAATTAAATTTGCATTGAAAATTATTACCTTGAAAAGTAATGTTTACACATCTACAAAGGACCAGCAAGGTGGCTCAGCAGCAGGTGAAAGGTATTTGTTCCTCAAGCCTGATGACGTGAGTTTGACTCAGGAACCATGGAGGAAGAAGAAACCCAACTCCACAAACTCCAGCTCTGCCCTTTGATCTATACATGTACACATACACTCTAATAATAATAATAATAATAATAATAATAATAATAATAATAGTAATAGTAATAACAATAATGAAGAAGAAAATTGCAAAGAATATGCATCTGAATGAGAGTGACCTATTCCCAGACCCAGTCCAGCGCCTCAGGATGCCCATCTGCTGACATCTGAGTGCATCTCTTGTTTGACTGCCATTCCTTTTTGGCTTCTTTTTTTTTTCTTCTAAGCATCATGTTTGGTTTTTTTATATTAATAACTATATATTTACATATATTAGTATAAAATCAATGGTTTTGTATGTATATCAATACATATCAATATATGGTCCATATTTTTTCTTATTAAATTTTCTATTCATTTTACACACCAACCACAGATCCCCCTCTCCTCTATCCTCCCGCCCCCCCCTATCCTTTCCTCCCAACCCACCCTCCATGCCCACCTCCTCCAAGGCAAGGCCTCCCATAGGGAATCAGTAGAGTCTGGTACATTCAGCTGAGGCAGGTCCAAGCCCCGCCCCCTGCACTAAGGCTGTGTAAGTTGTTCCACCACAGGCCCTGGGGCTCCAAAAAGCCCACTCCTGTACCAGGAACAGATCCTGATCCCACTGCCAGGGGCCCCTTATGCAGGTCAAGCTAAAGAACTGTCTCACCTATGCAGAGGACCTAGTCCAGTCCCATGGGGGCTCCACAGCTATTGGTCCACAGTTCATGAGTTCCCACTAGTTTGGTTTGGTTGTCTCTGTACATTTCCCCATCATGATCTTGATGCCCTTTGTTCATGGAATCCTTCTTTTCTCTCTTTGACTGGACTCTTAGAGCTCAGCCTAGTGCTTGGTTGTGGATCTCTGCATCTGCTTCAATAAGTTACTGGATGGAGGCTCTATGATGACAGTTAGGGTATTCACCAATCTGATTACCAGTGTAGGCCAGTTCAGGCACCCTCACCACTGTTGCTAATAGTCTAAGGCAGAGTCATCCTTGTTGATTCCTGGGAACTTCCCTAGCAACCTGTTCCTCCCTATTCCCATGCTGTCTCCATCTATCATGGTATCTCTTTCCTTGCTCTTCCACTCTGTCCCTATTCCAGCTTGACTGTCCCATTCCCTTATGTTCTCATCCCCCATCCCCTACCCTCCATTGACTCCAGTTTGCTCATGGAGATCTCATCTGTTTCCCCTTCCCAGGGAGATCCATGCATCCCTCTTAGGGTTTTCTTTGTTAGCTAGCTTCTCTGGATCTGTGGGTTGTAGTCTGGTTATCCTTTGCTTTACATAAGTATCCACTTATGAGTGAGTACATACCATGTTTGTCCTTCTGAGTCTGGATTACCTTGCTCAGGATTATATTTTCTAGTTTCATCTATTTGCCTGCAAATTTCATGATGTCATTGTTTTTTACTGCTGAGTAGTACTCCATTGTATATATGTGCCACATTTTCTTTGTCCATTCTTTGGTGGAGGGGCATCTAGGTTGTTTCCAGGTTCTGGCTATTAGAATAATGCTACTATGAACACAGCTGAGCAAGTGTCCTTGTGATATGATTGAGCATTCCTTGGGTATATGCCCAAGAATGGTATAGCTGGGTCTTGAGGTAGATTGATTACCAATTTTCTGAGAAACCACCATACTGATTTCCAAAGTGGCTGTACAAGTTTGCACTCCCACCGGTAGTGGAGGAGTGTTCCCCTTGCTCCACATCCTCTCCAACATAAGCTGTTATCAGTGTTTTTGCTCATAGCCATTCTGACAGGTATAAGATGGTATCTCAGAGTCATTTTGATTTGCTTTTTTCCCCTGATTACTAAAGATATTGATCAATTCCTTAAATGTCTTTCAGCCATTTGAGGTTCTTCTGTTGAAAATTCTGTTTAGCTCTGTAGCCCATTTTTTATTGGATAGTTTGGTATTTTGATGTCTAGTTTCTTGAATTCTTTGTATATTTTGGAGATCAGCCCTCTTGTCAGGTGTGGGGTTGGTGAAGATCTTTTCTATTCTGTAGGCTGTCATTTTGTCTTATTGACCGTGTCCTTTGCCCTACAAAAGCTTCTCAGTTTCAGGATGTCCCATTTATTAATTGTTGCTCTCAGTGTCTGTGCTACTGGTATTATATTTAGGAAGTGGTCTCTTGTGCCAATGAATTCAAGACTACTTCCTACTTTCTCTTCTGTCAGGTTCAGTGTAACTGGATTTATGTTGAGATCTTTGATCCACTTGGACTGGGGTTTTGTGCATGGTGATAAATATGGATCTATTTGCAATCTTCTACATGTTGACATCCAATTATGCCAGCACCATTTGTTGAAGATGCTTTCTTTTTTCCATTGTACAGTTTTGGCTTCTTTGTCAAAAATCAGGTGTTCATAAATATGCAGATTAATGTCAGGGTCTTCAATTTTTAACCTTCTTCTGAATCTGGTTCTTAGAATTAGCTGGAGGCATGATCTCAAGCTTCTATATAATACACATCTCTTGTCAAGTTGAACCTTGGAAAATGCCTGGTATTCCTAAGGATAATTTACATATCTAGGGAACTGTTGGCAAGAAGCACATTCATTGTTCTGTTTCTCTCCCGGAAGTGCCCCCAGGTAAGGAGTCGGAAGTCTGTAAGCCTTACCTTATTTGAGAAGATTGCTGAGAAGAATCAGACCAGTGAAAGACAATGCCGGCAGCAGTCAGAAAATTTCAGTTGTTGTCTCCCCTCTGTCTTGTACGGCTTTCTGCTCTGTGATGTCTTCAGTTAAAATCTGAGGTCATTTGTCTGCCTTAGACCGAGCAACAAGACCAAATGGAACGAATTTCTTTTCTTAGTTACTGTTCTGTTGCTGTAGAGACACCATGACCATGACAGTCTTATAAAGGAAAGCATTTCATTGGGGACTTGCTTACAGTTTTAGAGGGCTAGTCTGTGATCTTCATGGCAGGGAGAATGGTGGCAGGCAGGCAGAGAGAGACTGGGCCTGGTGACACGTCTCCTCCAACAAGGCCACATCTCCCAATCCTTCCCCAATAGTTCCACTAACTGGAGACCAAGCTTTCCAACACATGAGGCTATGGGAGCATTCTCATTCAGACCGCCACACTCCCGCTCCGGGGACCAACTTCTGTCATGGTCATGGTTACTGTTCTTTAACTGTGAGGAGACAGCATGACCAAGACAACTCTTATAAAAGAAAGCATTTAACTGGGAACTTCCTTACAGTTTCAAAGGGTTAGTCTGTTATCATCATGATGGGGGGTGTGGTGGAACTCAGGCAGGTTTGGTGCTGGAGAAGTTAACTGATCCACAGACAGCCGGCAGAGAAGAAGATGGCCTGATGTGGGCTTTTGACTTGGAGGTTGTTTGTTTGTTTGTTTCTGTATTTTAACCTTTTGGTAGGCTTTTAGATATCTCTTTTAAAGAGTAGATGTGTATATATCCTGAGGCTTAAGCTCAATAAATGTTAATAAAAATACTTTCAAATTTTTGAGTTATAATTTAGTATGTGTTTATTTTATTTATATGCATGTATGTCTTTGCATATACTTCTCTCTCTCTCTCTCTCTCTCTCTCTCTCTCTCTCTCTCTCTCTGTGTGTGTGTGTGTGTGTGTGTGTATCTCATATGTGGGTGGTGGAGGGCAACCTTGGGTGTCCTTTCTCTGGAGCTATCTACCTTGTTTTTTGTGACAGTAACTCTTCATGGGATTGTAGCTTGCCCAAGTAGGCTAGACTGGCTGGCCAGTGAGCCACAGGGATCTTTCTGTTCTCACCTTCACAGTCCTGGGATCACAAGCTCACACTACCACGCTTGGCTTTACCATGGCTAGATTTTTTATGTGGGTTGTGGAGAGCAAACTCCGGTCCTTGTGTTCTGTGGCAAATCCTTTGCAAACTGAGCCATCGCTTACCCCAAAACCTCTTTAAAGAGAAACATATCAGGACCATTAAAAAAAAATTCCTGGTATTTAATTTTTACATAGCCCTGGAACTTAAATGTATGTACTAGGCTGGCCTTGAACTCAGATATCCACCTGCCTCTGCCTCCCGAATGCTGGTATTAAAGGCATGCACCACCATGCCTAGCTTATAAAAGCATTTTTTAAGAATGAAAACTAAAAACTATGTAGATCCCCTAGTTCTGGATGGATAAATAATAACAGGGGTATGGCCTTCACTCACATTATTACTGTTTCTTTTTTAGTCCTTAGGAAAGTTAGCCCTAAGGCTGTACCCAGCAAAAAGGGAGCCCGAGTCGGATTTCGGTCCCAAAGCCTCAATAGAGAGCCGCTTCGGAAAGATCCTGACATCGTTACAAAGCGAGTTCTTTCGGCAAGGCTTCTGAAAATCAACGAGCTGCAGAACGAAGTGTCTGAACTGCAGGTCAAGTTAGCCCAGCTGCTCAAAGAAAACAAGGCGTTGAAAAGTCTCCAGTTTCGTCAGGAGAAAGCGCTGAATAAGTTTGAAGACGCAGAGAGCGAAATCTCGCAACTTATACTGCGTCATAACAATGAGATTACTGCACTCAAAGAACGCTTAAAGAAATCTCAGGAGAAGGAGCGGGCCACAGAGAAGAGGGTGAAGGATACGGAAGGGGAACTCTACAGGACCAAGTTTTCCTTGCAGAAACTGAAAAAGATCTCTGAGGCTAGACACCTCCCAGAACGCGATGATCTGGCCAAGAAACTGGTTACAGCAGAGTTAAAATTAGACGACACCGAGAGAAAAATTAAGGTAACATTGTGCGCCTTCACGCCGTGCTCTGTGGCTGGTGCTTACTGGGCATCTTGATGGCTCTGGTTGAGCAGGCCCATGCAGTTTGGCCTTTGCTTAGGCCCGAAAGTGGATTTTAATGTTATTTTTCCTGGATAGAAGTCAAGAACAGAGCCAGGCAGGTGGTGCGGGCTTTGAGTCCTAAAACTCAGGAGTCAGAGGCCAGGGCATCTTGGTGAGTTTGAGACCAGCCTGGTCTACTTTCTAGGCCAGCCAGTGCTACATAGTGATACTCTGACCCAAACAACAACAAAACCACCAAAGAAATTAAGGACAATTAAGAACGTATATATAGGGGCTGGGGAGAGAACTTAGTCTGTAAAGGACTTGCTCCACAAACACAAGGACCTGAGTTCTACCCTCAGCTCTTATATAAAAATGCCTGGGAGTGGTAGGTGGTGGTGAGTACATGTAGTGTTAGTGCTGAGGAGGGTAGATGTAGACAGGTAAACCCATGGGGCTCATTGAACAGCTAGCCTGGTCTTCTTGGTGAGCTCCAGGTTCCAGTGAAAGACCAAGGCTAGGAATGCAACCCATGGTTGATCTCTGGCCTCCACACATGCACATACATGTATACATACCTTCACTTACACAAAAGATTATTTATTTAAGAGCTAGATGTTGAAGATTGTATATGTTATTAGTAAATCACATGCTGATGGATGAGTTTGAGTCTTAGTAACTTCTGGAACTTGATTGTCTTTGATATATAATAACCACCCTATACAAAACATCCCTTTCCATGAAGCTAGAAATTCGTGAGAGAGGAGAAAGATCATAAAGGGGCAGAGAGAAGGTCATGGAATATCATGATAAAAAAGGAACTGTCTGGGGGCAAAGAAGGGAATCACATGGGTTAAGGGACATGGGGGGTCAGTGGAGGAGGGGAAGAAATGAGAAGAAATATGATGGACCATGGGCATGAAAGGTTTTAGTGAAACTGTGTAGGGCCCTCTGTATAAGAAACCTGCATGAACAACAATCTATGTGAGGGTGGGATGAGGCAGAGATAAACCTGGTGTGGTGGCATGTGCATATAATCTGGGAAGCTGAGGAAGGACTGAGTTCAAAGCCAGCCTTGACCATATAGCAAGACTCTGTCCCTTAAAAATAAGGGTACTGGATGCTTCCTATTTGGAGATCATTGTAGATGTATGTAGAAATGCATAATGGACATGCATTAATAAGAAAACTATGTAGAAAGTTCTTCTATTCCCTTTACATGCTTTTCCCACTATTTTATAATTGTCACACAATATTAGAGTCAGGGAGTTGGTTCCAATACAGTGAAATGATCCAGCAATCTCCTCGGCTTTCCCCTGACTTTATTTGTGCTCATGTGTATTGTGATACACAGTGTAATTACACGCATGGTTTTCATGACCATGGCTCAGGTCAAGATACAGATCAGCAATACCTTTTATCCTTCCTTCTCTAACCTGAGACATTCACTAATAGGCATCTCTATAATTCTTTAATTTCAAGGATGCTGTATAACTGGAGTTGCTTATTGTCTAGGCTTGATGCTGGCATGTATCATATACACTCTGATACCAGTTGCTGAATGAGTCATACAGCTTTTGACTCCTGAGTAGTGCTTAATAGTGTGGTGACAGTGTCACTGTAGAGCCAATTAAAGGGTAGTTCCCTTTGGTTTTTGTTTGTTTGGTTGGTTTGTTTTGTTTTGAGACAGAGTTTCTCTGTGTCCCAATCTTGGTTGTCCTGGAACTCACTTTGTAGATCAAGCTGGCCTTGAACTCACAGAGATCCACCTGCCTCTGCCTCCTGAGTGCTGGGATTAAAGGTGTGTGCCACCACTGCTCGGCTACCGTTTAGTTTTTGAACTAACCAATGAAGCTGCTAAGACCATTCATGTACAGATTTTCTGTATGAACATGACTTTCATTCTCTGGGATGTGTACCTGGAAGTTCGTGTGCTGGATGGTAGAATGTCTGCTTGGCTTTGTCAGAAACTGTCCTCGCCTTTCTAGAGTATCAGAGCCAGTGGATGTTCCGTCAGCAGCGCCTCACTGTGCTGGCTCTTCTCCCCATCAGCATTCAGTATTATGTAGCTAGAGTTTTCCTGCCTGGCCACAGTCAGGACAAATCTCTCTCACCCGCCAGTCCCACAGCCGCCCAGGCCCAACCAAGTAAACACAGAGACTTATATTGCTTACAAACTGTATGGCCGTGGCAGGCTTCTTGCTAACTGTTCTTACAGCTTAAATTAATCCATTTCCA